TATATACATATATATATATATAGGGACTATCAGGTGCTGTGCTTTGCAAGTGGCTTCCGGCCACGATCGACGAGGTCGTCGAGCTCAGCCTCTGAGATGCCAGCACGACCTGAGGAGCTTCGGTTTAAGGGTTTAGGGTTTGGGGGTTTAGGGGTTTCGGGGTTTGGGGATTAGGGTTTAGGGACTTCTCCGCCACAGGGCCCTGAAGGGAAACTAGCCTTTAAAGCGCAGAGAGCCGCGCAAATGACAGTACCCCAAACCCTATGCACGAATCTTCGAGGAAGTTCTGACCTGGCCCGTTACAAAGCAAAATCGGCACATCCAACCCTGTCTCAAGACTCATCCAGACTTGAGATGGATTCCGACATGTAGGCATACATTGGCGGGTGTAGATGTTCGTCTTGCTTTCTTGCTCTGCTTAGCTCGGGAGCCAGCCATTGATGAAGCCGTTGAAGTCTCGCAGGTCCTTCAGTCCACTCACTCCCTCTCTTCTTCTCAAATCCTTTCAGAACATCGCCCGACACTATCACACTACCGTGATACATTCAATTCGTAGAAGCCCTCAATTCAGCCTGCAGACCCGGGCAGTTCGGCACCCCTCCAAGCAAAGCCATATCTGCAGACAGAGCATACCTATGTACTTCTCTCATATTAACCATGCGGAAACTTTTATTGGCCACTTCAAACTGCAAAGACATGACAGTCCTGTGTGATCAATGTGCATCTCGCAAACGGCGCAAAGATCACGGGCGTCACGATCTCAGGTTGAAGCATCACATAAGGATCGCAGAGATTTGTACGGAACGAGATTGTTAATCCGCTCACGGAATGTGAACTATATAGGCGGTACAGTGGCTGAGCTCAAGGCCCAGAATGTGAAAGAGATAACCACCAAGAACATCGGCAGCTGACCCTGGCTTCAAACGTGTTTCGCATCGTGTCAGCGAATCCTAGTGACCTCTGCACGAACAACCGAATTTGGAAGTGTGCTGGTTCTTGCCTTTTGCGATCACGATGAGTCCCGATCATCGAATGAACAGAAACTCGGCTGACGTTAGCATAACAACGATGACCCGAAAAACTTCAATTGCGACTGTAGGGCAGCCCAGTCCTACCGTAGCCTACTATCAGCAAACCACTTCAGGACAAGTGAATCTACACTGTCCGCAACACCGACGTTTGTGCTCGACACACATGAAAGAACTGCCCGCAGGCGGGGCAAGTGTAAGCAGCACGAAACGATTTTCCAGGGAACAGCCGTGCCGAGAAGTCCTTGAAGTCATAAGTGTCTGCTGGCCTGAAATGTCTGGCTTGCGAGCAGGTTGTAAACAATGTACAACACCATAAGACCTGACAGGTGCGGAGCTTCGAGTTTCGGCAAGTCAACTTTGCATACAGCATGCTTCGCTGATTGAAGTCGCCGAAGGTTCCTTGTAGGACAACGGTGAAGATGCGGCTTCAAAAAGCCAGCACTGGAACTACACACTATTTGAACAACCACACGGTGCGAAGCTTCTGGACTTGGAAAAGCCTCTCCAACAGGAGGCAGAGTTGGCAAAAGCTTGACTTTGCTCCAGGGTCTGCACGGATCGAGGGTGTGTAGTGCGACTTGAAGTAGTTGCAGTAGTTGTCCTGCGACCATTTCGTCAAAAAAATCGTTCAGGTGCCACTGCCGTGGCTCAATCGCTCTCAATGTCTGACCGTCCGACTGCACAGATCTGACCCAAACGTCACACGGTTCCATGGAAAGAACTCTCCACCAAAACAGAGCCGAAACACATGCAACTCCAAGTGGAGACTGCTCCAGAGGCGAAGTGCTCAACTTCGCAGCGCTTTCCATGACTGCGCATACTCAAGCTGACACTTCTCATCACTCCTTTCCGGCTACAATACCTGATAGAGTTAAACAGACCAAAAAGCTTTCGGACTGCTGCATCGCTGCGAATCAAAAAAATCTCTACTCCCGGCTTCGCTGGGCCTCGCCTCGAACTACCCGACAAGCTATTCCCGGGCGCGCCGAGTCCCCAGATCTGACTACTCGTCACTTACCAAGACCGCTCGCAACACACCAGGCGAGTACGCAATGACCCAGTGGACTAGAAAAAGGCCCAGAAAGAGAGCGATGCAAGCCGATGGCATTCACATCCAGAGCACAGCGTCGCTCCACGGAGAGCCAAGCCTCCCCGCCCCCGGACATGCGCACAGCGTTGCAGGGCAGGGATGCCGGACTTATCGCAGCCTCCTTCATCGTTCCCGGCTACATGATGGACCGCGACGTGATGGGTCCGGACAAAGCTGCCACAACGCAAGCATCACTCTTCTTGTCTTTCGGAACAAGTGGAGGACATGAGTGCACAAGCCGAGCTGCATTGGGACCAGCAGGCGGGCAGCGGCAGTCTGCGGCTTTGCTGCCGCTAGGCCGCCAGGATCCGCTAGGAATGTTGGACGTTGTTCAATTGTGGTGGAAGCCGAGGCACAGTTTTTGTTGCAAAGCGCGTCCTTCCAAGTCTGGTGGAGGTTCGCCAAAGGTCGCCCGGTCCCTGCATACCTGGAGGCCGGGCCAGTGAGTAGTGCAGATTAGCCAGCACAAGCTTCCTGGAGCCCATGCCTTGCGAGTCCGGAGATGGCGCCAGCGCGCATGGCCTGGCAGGACTGTACCGGCATTGCGGCCCAGACTCACTGAACTTGGCAGAGTTGGGGCATTGCTTCACACGTCGAGGCCCAAGCAGCGGCGATGCTTTTGTTTTGGAAAATGAAGAACATCGTCGATGCCTGGGTGCGACATCCAGTAGTTCGTCATGAGTCAAAGCCTGACAACTGGAAGCCCTCGCTCTGGCGACGTGAAAACCTTCCGGTTAGAGTCTCATCACTCACATTCCCCAAGGTGCGAACCGGAAGGCCGCCGAAGACCTCCCTGCATGCTCGGTTGGCCCCAAACCTCGGCAAGCGCTCCCTGGCCCGAAACTTCGAGATCTTGCAGAACCATGACCTGCCAACTCTGCCCGCCCTGACTCCATCCCCCCCCCCCCCCCCCCCCCCCCCCCCCCCCCCC